GTGTGTGTGTGTGTGTGTGTGTGTGTGTGTGTGTGTGTGTGTGTGTTCACCCCCCCACCCCCATAAAGATCATGGAGTTTAACAAAATAAGAAGCAGACATTACCAATTCAGTGAGGCTAGAACAGACACTAAAGCCCAGACATCACCACATGCTCTACCTCCTACCACATTGGGCCACGCCCCCCGAACTCCTTGGGAATTTTGTATCTAAAGTTCATCATTGTATCAAACGTGCACTGAATAAAGTGATGCATATGTTTTTGCTAATGCTCCTGGAGGGTCTTCATTAGCATTTACCAGAGATGGGGACTTGTGACTCAGACTTGGACTTGAGTCACACTTAAGACCCTACTATTAGAAACTTAGACTTGACTTGGACTTTGACCCTAAAGACTTGAGACTTGACTTGGACTTGTGGTTTGAGACTCGCAAACAATGTAAGTCTTTTCACTGCCCGGCTAACGATTCTCACTTTCTCAATACACATCCATGCTCCGCTCCTCTGAGAACAAATACATAAAGCTTTAAGAGAAAAGACATTTACTCCTGCCCTCACCTGAGAATGGGAGGGGCCAGTGCCATCCAATGTTAATGACGCATACCCTACATGACAAACAGAGCTTCAGCATGGCAGGTGTGTTGCAGTATACAGCGACGCTGCCATTCATTATAAGCTCTGCTTACAGAGACTTTATTTAACACCATGACAAGAGACTGGCTAAATGCAAAGGGTCTGGAGTCCAAATCCAGAATTTGTTGTTGTGATGACTTGTACAGCCCTTTTACTTTAAGGATTCTGGTTCATCATCTTCACTGACCCGCTTTTATGCATTTAAAAATATTTTCTCTGGTATTTTATTGTAAAATCAGCAGCAGACTTGTTGGATTGTTTTCAATGGCAAGATTTAATTACAGTATGCTTTTGTAAGACTACAAGTGCAAAATACTGTTATCAATACTTTAAATGCTTGATTGTTGTTATTTCTGTATTTTAAAAACAGTATTATGTTTTAATAGTATTATTAAAACATAATGC